ATAGCATTCCATTACATTCATATACCACAACTTGTTCAGATATTCGCAATTGATGGGCACCCCCTCAATTTCCACTTCTTTGCCACCATGAAAAGAGTTGCTTTAAATATTTTTGTACATGTGGGTCCTTTCTCCATTTGTATGATCTCTTTGGGATATAGCACTAGAAGTGCTATTGCTGGGTCAAATGGTATGCACATTTTATAGTCATTTGGGCATAGTTCCAAATTGCTCTCCAGAATGGTTGGATCATTTCACAACTCCACCAACAATGCATTACTGTTCCAATTTTTCAACATCTTCAACATTTATCATTTTCCTGTTTTATCATGTTGGCCAATCTGATAGGTGTGATGTGGTACCATAGATTTGTGTTGATTTGCATTTCTCTAGTCAATAGTGATTTAGAGCATTTTTTCATATGACTATAGATGGCTTTAATTTTTTCATCTGAAAAATGCCTACTCATATCCTTTGATCATTTATCAATTGGGCAATGACTTGTATTCTTATAAATTTGACTTAATTCTCTATATATTTTAGAAATGAGGCCTTTATCAGAGACACTGGCTGTAAGAATTCTTTCTCAATTTTCTACTTTCCTTCTAAAATTGGTTGCACTGGCTTTGTTTGTGCAAAATCTTTTCAATTTAATGTAATCAAAATTATCCATTTTGTATTTCATAATGTTCTCTATCTCCTGATTGGTCATGAGGTTCTTCTGTTCTCCATAAATCTGACAGGTAAACTATTCCTTGCTCTCTCAGTTTGCTGATAGTATCAGCCTTTATATTTAAATCATGAACCCATTTTTATTTTATTTTGGTATATGGTGTGAGATTTTAGTTTATGCCCAGTTTCTGCCATAATCTTTTCCATTTTTCCCAGCAGTTTTTGTCAAATAGTGAGTTCTTATCCCAGAAGCTGAGGTCTTTGGGTTTATCAAATAGTAGATTACTATAGTCATTGACTACTGTGTCTTGCATATTTAACCTATTCCACTGATCCACCATTGTATTTCTTAGCCAGTACCAAGCAGTTTTGATGATTGCTGCTTTATAATACAATTTAAGCTCTAGAATGGCTAGGCCACCTTCCCCTGCATTTTTCATTGGTTCCTTTGACATTCTGGACCTTTTGTTCTTCCAAATGAATCTTGTTATTATTTTTTCTAACTCTATAAAATAATTTTGGTAGTTTGATTGGTATGGCACTGAATAAGTAAATTAGCTTGGGCAGAATTGTCATTTTTATTATATTAGCTCAGCTACCCATGACCAAATGATGTTTTTTCCAATTATTTAGATCTGACTTTATTTGTGTGAAAAGTGTTTTATAATTGTGTTCATATAGTTCCTGGGTTTCAAGTCCTAATTTCCCTGGATTCCTTTAAGACTTAGCTGAGATCCTTCTGATATCAATTCTCATCCTTCTTTCTGCATGAAGACCTTCTCAGTCCCCATACCCTCCCTCTTCTCTTTTCAGATTACCTTCATTTACTCTGTTTACACTTTGTATATACCTAGTTATTTATTTATCAACACCCCCTTAGAATGGACACTTCTTGAGGGAAGAGATTTTCTTTTCTTTTTTTCTTTTTCTTTTTTTCCCTTTCTTTGCATCCCCAGAACAACATAGTGTTTGGCAGGTAAAAAGCATTTAAGAAATTCTTGCTGACTGACTGATTATTCTTAACACAACACCTCACTTTCTTTATAGTAGCCATTCCCTATTCTTAGGAATAGGGAATTCTTGTTCCTCACAGAATTGCTTTCTTCTTTTAAGATGACAATCAAGTACTACATTCTAGATGAACCCTTTTACATCTTGTCCCTGACTATTTAATATTTATTTGTTGGTTACTCTTTTATTTTTGTTCTCTGTATATTCATGTACAAGTTGGATTGAAACTATATCATTTATCTCTGGTGCCTTGATGAATTACACTTTTTTTTCCTATTGACTCAATCAGAAATGAATGAGAACAAGGCCTATACACCTCTCTGAATCAAACAAAGCCAATGTATAAGAGACTGGGCCACACGCCAAATGCTTTATGTAACGAAAACTATCTTAGTGTCAGAGAATACAGAACAATTGGATTCATGAGGCTGCAGCAAGCATGGAGCAAAAGAAGTATTGAGCTGTGGTAGGAAACAGAGCTATCTGGGAGAATCCTTGGCTCTATAAGTATTACAGAGAGGTGGATCCAGGCAGAGGGAAGTCCCAAGAAAATACTGATTCTTCCCTGAACTTCCCCTCCTGATGCCTGTCTAACTGCATATACTATAATATATTCTGCTGTGTTATTAGCCAAATGATCCCAGTTAACTGAATTTTGCCTGACACTAAGAGGCCAGGGCTAACTAGAGATGGATATCAATGTAAAGTTAGTCAGAGAACCTAACCCTCATGTAAGTGTTAGGAATTTTTTCTACCTGGTGTTCCAGAGCAAATATGACTGAAATCAGAACTTTTCATCTAATAAACACCCTAAAATAGAAGATACAGAAACAAAGAAGGTATAAAGGGGTATTTTATTACATAATGCAAGAAGTTATGAATTGATTAAAAGCCTTTGTTTCTTCTCTATATTATTTTATGAATGTTAAGATGTTCTATTTATTCTGAATACCTTGCAAGCCCAAGTTTATTCACAAAAAGTAACATGACACTGAAAAAAATTTTGGAAAGAAAAATTATAAAGTATCTAAAATGCAAAAATATTTAAAATAATGGATTCATAATTATTCAGTGTTTTAATTACTTCATCTTTTAAACCAAATAATAGCTTAGTAGGATATTTGGATAGTACTGAAATTCAAACATCAAAATTGCTCTATAATATATTCTAATATAGCAACATTTAAACTCCAAACTGGAAATTTTATATTTCCTCTTGTGATACTGTCTTCTGAATTCTTTTGCAAAGAATAAAATGACTTGATGGTGGTTTCAAAGTTTGTGAATTTTGAGAAATAGTAATTTAGTAAACTCAGAATTTACACTGTCAACTTCAGAGGAAAAATATTTTAAATATACATTTGGAAAACATCTTACCTCTTGTCAAAAAATAATGCTAAAATAATTTTCTAATGTATTTATAAAAGAAAGTCTAAGAATCTTTTCTGGGACTTATGATGCCATTTAAATTATCTAATATATTTAATCTTTATACGACAAAGATCCTCTGTGGGAAAGTCAGGTTCACTTGCCTGAAAGAGTGACTTTTGCAGGTATCAGAATACTATTAGTGCACACTGGTGAACTTAGTTGCAAGTTACCTGTTACATGGAAGATCATATTAACCTGCTTTAAGTGAGCAGCTACCCTCTAAACAAAGGCATTTATCATCCTCTTTGTGGAGGCCATGTTTTTCCTTTGATAAGTAATACAAATGTTATTGCTTTTTATTAATCTGATACATCGATTTAAAATATCCATATTGTCTGCTATTCAGAGTTTGCTACAAAACACACAAATTGTTTTAAAAATATGCATATTTTAAAGATATTCCCCAAAAAAGAATGATTCAATTTATCTCAAGTTTAAATTCTTTCTTTGTAGAGTTTATGTATGCCATTATAAAAAGTATACATAATGTAATTATTGCAGTACTGAGTTTAAACCAGATTACTTAAAATAATCTTTTATCGTTGGAGATATAAATAAGAATTTCTTGAGATCACACAATTTCCTGAGTATACATTTCACTATTTTTGGCCCAGATTTTCCACTTGAGGGGTTAAGTTTTCTATCAAGAAATCAATTTGAGTAGAATTACTTTGAGGTAATGCTCAAATGCTTTGAGGTAAGATGTAAGATGGTTTACTCCCCACAGAATGCTTTGTGGGTGGCTAATTTAGCTAGAGAGGTTACTTAATAATTTTTTCCTTTGTAAACATGTCCTCTGTTGTAGAAACTGAAGTATAGGTATGAATGAACGACATTTCCATTTGCAGCATATCTAATTCTACTCCTAGGTGAACTAAGAAATATTGATGTGGTTACACAAGTTTTCACTAGTTCTCCACTGTACCTGCAGTTCTATCAGTCACTAGTGAGACAAAGGATGATGCCACACATTTTCCACTTATTAATTCTATTTAGCCACCAATTAGATTTGGATGCTGTTTGCCAAATTTTCATATAGGGGCAGTTTCTGACTCAAAGGGCTTGTTTTCCATAGATGGGAATCTAGATTTCAACATGACTTGATAATTAAATTCTTCTGGCATCTACCACTATTATATTTTATTTGGAGAAGAGTATATTTCTTTTAAAAATAAAATGAACTATTGGTTGGTACACAGAAGAGAAAGCTAAGTTTGAGCATTTATTTGCCAATACTAATATAGCCCACTCCATATAAAACTAAGTACCAAATGCTTCATTTTGAAGGCTTTAGAAGTTACATGGATATTCTGCAGGCATGTTTTGAACCATGGGATAGAGGAATATAGCAAGTGAACACCTGAAGAAAGCTGACACGAACAACACAAAAACCAGAGTTATGAAAACAAAGTTAAAAAGAGAAATTATAATAATCTGTTTTAGAAATGCTATATGTTAGAGAATAAGAGACTATAGAAAAAGCTTAACAAACTATCATGTCTGTGGGACTTTAATACTTTGGCCAATAATAAAAATTAATTTTAGGAGTAGGGTATCTAAATCATTCAAGAATTAGTCCTTAGCACAAATGTCTGATATACCATAGGCTCTTAATTTATATTTATTGACTTTGACTGATAGTTATCCTTTTATTAGATTTTAAAAGAATTTATATTTGGTACATAGACTATGTAAGAAAAATAATCCTAGTAGACATTTTCTAGGTTAGAGTAACAAGGAGTTTAAATGTTCTCATTCTCATTTTCTAATCTGTGAGCAAATGTTTGAATTCATTATGAAAGCCTATTTTAAAACTGATTATATTGTGAAAATACAAATCTAAACTTCTAGGAACGATTATTTATCACAGCATATTGCTCACTTACCCTCTTCTGTTCCTTTACATACTCCATCAGTTCTTCTCTTGTTTTTCTCACAGCTTCTTCCACAGCCTTTTCACTTCGCTTCTGCTCCTCTGCCATCACTGCCTTGAGGGTTTCCTGTAGGGAATTCACCCATCCATCCATCAATCAACAAGCATTTATCAAGTTCCTAGTTTACTCAGGTGCTAGGATACAAATTTAAGAGTCCTTGCCCTCAAAACTACTTCCATTCAAATGAGGTAGACATGTGCATAAATAAGTGTGACTAAAATATGCACAAAAATAAGTTAGAGATAATTTTTGGAGGTAGGTACTAGGAGCTGGAGGTAGGGTGGATAACAAAGACTTTATGTAGAAGATTATTTTGAACTGAGTCTTGAGGGGAAATAACTTTTTAAAAGGTGTTGATTAGGAGAGAGTACATCTCAGGCATGACAGATAGTCATGTGTGAGGAATATTAGGAGGGCCAGTTTGAATGGACCATTGAGTGCAGGGAGGGGAGTAATGTATACCAAGGCTGAAAAAGTACATTGGGGCCAGATTTTGAAGGGCTTTATATGTCAAACAGGATGGGAAAAAAAAAAGTGAAGTAGCATGTACTAATGTTTTTATACATAGTGTTCACATAACTTTAAAATCCACTTATGGGTTATGGAACTATTTCCATTTTAATGGCATCTTAGTGACCCTTAAGAAGTGTGCTAGAATTCAGTTTTCTAAATGTAATACAAGAAAGTTTTTGGTAAGGGAAGTCCCTCAAAGATTCAGTTTTTTTTTAACTAGTCTTTCATTTGCTATTAGTAATTGATTGTCTTCTTGTGCTTTGTACTGTCACCATAAGATTCTCAACCTGTATGCATTCTTCAAAGGACAGTTATTATTAAATTTTTATCTGATAATAATCAGGTATAGTTTGGTTGGTAATATTTTAATCATTCTTATTCTGTTGAGTACCGAGGTATACTTTAATGTTATGCTATGTGATTTCAGATGACAAACCAACTTGCAGTTCATTCTGCAAGGGGCTGAAAAATTCCAAATCCTGGAGAGGAATATAGCAGGGCACTAAAGATAAAATCTCTGTTGGCAGAGGATGTTCTCCAGGGACTAGTTGCCCAGGCCCCTGGAATTTATAATTGTGTCTCAAAAAAGCAGTATGCTTAGCCCAGGACGAGATGGACTCTATCATGTCATTTGGACTACATTGGTTAGGGGTTATGCCAATTTTGGAAAATGGATGAGTCTGGACCAAGGACAAAAAGTGAGCCTTTTCAGCAGCAGCAACAAAGGATGCCATGCATGAGGACTGGCCAAAAGTACTGAAAGTCCAGAGTTTATTTGTTTAGTATTTCATTTTTTGCCCAATTACAGGTAAAAATAATTTTAACATTCTTTTTTTTTTCAAAATTTAAGTTCCAAATTCTCTTCCTCCCTCTTCTCCTCTCCCTCATTTAGAAGGCAAGCAATTTGACATAGGTTACAACATGTGTAGTCATGCAAAACACATTTCCATGTAAGTCGTTCTATGAAAGATAACACAGACCAAAAAAACAAAGAAAAATAAAGAAAAGGTATCTTTGATCTGCACTCAGGCTCTACCAGTTCTTCCTCTGGAGATGGACAGCACCTTTCATCTTAAGTCCTAGAGAATTGTCTTAGATCATTGCATTGCTGAGAATAGCTAACTTACAGTAGATCATCATACAATATTGCTGTTACAGTGTACAATGTTCTTCTTGTTCTCCTCATTTCACTTTGCATCAGATCATGTAAATCCAAGTTTTTCTGAAAGCATTTTGCACATCATTTCTTAAAGTACCATAGTGTTCCATCACAATCAGATAAAACAACTTGTTCAGTCTTTGCCCAATTGATGGAAATCTCTCCAATTTCCAATTACTTGCCACCACTAAAAGATTTTTGTACACATAGGTCCTTTTATCTTTTGTTTTTATCTCTTTGGAATACAGTCCCAGTAGTAGTATTGCTTTGTCAAAGGGTATGCATGGTTTTATAGCCCTTTGGTCATAGTTCCAAATTGCTCACCAGAATGGTTAAATCATTGTATAACTTCACCAATAGTACATTAGTGTTTTAATTTTCCCACATCCCTTCCAACATTTGTCATTTTCCTTTTGTCATATTAGCCAATCTGACAGATATGAAGTAGTAGCTCAGAGCTGTTGTAGTTTGCATTTCACTACAGATAGATTTGATTACTTTGTCTGAAAAACTGCCTGATCATATCCTTATCGCTTATCAAGTGAGGAATGGCTCTTATTTCTATAAATTTGACTCACTTGTCTATTGTTTGAGAAATGAAGTCTTCAGAGAAACTCACTGTAAATTTTTTTTACAATAATGATTACACATTATGTATTTCTCTCAATCCTATTTTGCTGTTTATCCTATTCTCTCTCTCCTTTTACCCTGTCCATTTTCAAAAGTATTTTGCTTCTGACTTTTAACTTCCCCAAACTGCTCTCCCTTCTATCAGCTCCCCCCATAACCCAATTGAGTGTGTTCATTATTCTTTCCTTAAGCCAAATCTGATAAGATTCATTCATTCCTTCTCACCTTCCCCCACTTCTCCTCCACTACAAAAGCTTTTTCTTGTCTTTTATGTGAAATAATTTGCCCCATTCTACCTCTCCCTTCCTCCTCCCAGTATAATCCTTTCTCACCCCTTAATTTTATTCTCCAGATATCACCCCTTCATCTTCAACTCACCCTGTGCCATCTATCTATCTATCTATCTATCTATCTATCTATCTATCTATCTATCTATCTATCTATCTATATCTATAAATACATATAATTTTTCCCCTCCAACTACCCTAATATTAACAAAGGTCTCATGAGTTACAAATATCATCTTTCCATGTGGGAAAAAAAATCCCTCTCAAGGATTATACTAAGTTTTGCTGGGTAGATGATTCTTGGCTGTAATCCTATTTCCTTTGCCCTCTGGAATATCATATTCCAAGTCCTCTGCTCCCTTAATGCAGAAGCTGCTAAATCTTGTGTTATCCTGATTGTGTTTCCACAATACTTGAATTGTTTCTTTCTGGCTGCTTGGAATATTTTTTCCTTGACCTGGGAACTCTGAAATATGGCTACAATATTTCTTCCTTGCCCCAGGACCGCCACCCAGAACTGTGACCCAGATCTAAGCAAGGGCAAAACAAGAGAATCCTGCCTCAGCACCAGCAAAGAGATCCCTGCAATCCCCCTTTGACCAGCCACTCAATTTCCTCTTAGTCTGTGGGTTGAGCTCAGGAAACAGTCGCAGCCCCTGGGCTGTGCTGGGACTGGGGCTGGAACCAAACTTCTCTATCACTGTGGTCACAGACTTTTCCTACTGCCCTTCTAAGTTGTCTTTGAATTTGTGGGTTGAGAAGTCTGGAAACCAACACAGTTGCTTGTGATCCAGTCCTATGAGGGCTGCTCCAGGTAAGCTGAGGCCTGGTTCTTTTACTATGTGCCCACTCTGAACTGCACTCCTCTCCTAGCCTGGCCCAACAGACCTTTCCAATCCACCATCCAGGTTGTCTTAGGCTGGAAATGTATTTTAACTCTGTCTTTTTGTGGGTTCTGCTCTAGAATTTTTTTGGAGTCATTTTTTACAGGTATTTGGAGGGCTTTGAGGGAGAGCTCAAGCAAGGTACTTCTTTCACTTTGTCATCTTGGCTCTGTCCCCTAAGGAATTATTTTCTTCAGTTAGCTTTTGTACTTCCTTTTCCATTTGGCCAATTCTGCTTTTGAAGGCATTCTTTGCTTCACTGGATTTTTGTATATCTTTTACCATGTGGCCTATTCTGTTTTTCAAGATGTTATTTTCTTCAGTATTTTTTTTGTGTGTCTCCTTTACCAAACTGTTGACTCTTTTTTCAAGATTTCTTTGCATTACTCTAATTTCTCTTCCCAATTTTTCCCCAACCATGCTCACTTGATTTTTAAAATCCTTTTTGGGCTGTTCCATGGCCTGAGACCAATTCGTATTTTTCTTTGAGGCTTTGGATGTAGGAATTTTGACTTTGTTGTCTTCTTCTGAGTGTGTATTTTGATCTTCCTTGTCACCATAGTAACTATGGTCAGAAATTTTTTTCTGTTGTTCGCTCATTTTCCAGCCTATTTCTTAACTTTTAACTCTATGCTAAAGTAGGTCTCTGCTTCCCAATTGGAGGGGGCACTGTCCCAAACTTGTTTTTTTGTGCAGCTATTTTCAGAGGCAATTCTGGGGACATGTAAATTTCGGGATCTTCCAAAGTGGTATGTTCTAGGAAGAGATGTGGTTACTACTCTCCTGTACTGTGTACTGGTCTGTGATGACCACAAGCACTGTTTTCAACCCTGGAACTGTGGTCAGGGTCCCTGTTCCCCTGTGGTCACAAGCTCTTCTGTATTAGTGCTCCTCCTTGCACTGGAACTATGACCCAGGACTGTGTCCCAGATCCAGGTATAGGCAATGCAACAGAGTCCTGCACTTAGGGCAGCAAAGGGATCCCTGTAAATCTCCCTCTGACTCACTGGCTCATGCCCTTACCATCTATGGACTGAGAGGTCTGGAAACCAACACTATTGTCACTGATTCAGTCGTCTGAAGGTGTGCTCCTGGTTTATTGGGGCCCAGTCTGTGCTTGAAAATTATTTCACTCTGTCTTTTTGTGGGTTCTGTCACTCTAGAATTTGTTTAGAGTCATTATTTAAAGATATTTGGAGGGGTTTTTGGGGGAGAGCTCAGTTAAGTCCCTGCCTTTACTCCATCATCTTGGCTCTGCCTCCTCCTGGAGTTTAATATTCCAGTTACAGAAAGAAATGGTTGGGGAATGACTGAGCTGTTTCATTCATAAGAGATTACTAGAATAGTGGTGTCTTATTACTATTTGACAGATGGCCAGCAATGCTACTCCTAAGTATTTTCTTGTTCCTTTAAATTCGCTTATTTGCTATTAGCATAATACTTTTACATGGTTTTCTTTAGCTAAATATAAAGTGATCTTAGATGTGTACAAATGGGTGAAACAGCAAAGGTCATTTGTATACACAGAATTTACAAGTCAGGGCCTGTTGTCTCTGGCAAAATTGTCAAGGACATCTCTGGGGGCTCGGGAAT